GCTGGTCCGTGGGAGGGCCTGCGGCTGAGGGCAGGGGCCGGCGGACGGCTGGGGCATGAGGAGGCCCCGGACTGGAGGAGCCGAGCTGTGGGGGCTCTGAGGGGTGTCAGGCACGGCTGCCCCTCACCGGCCTGCTTTCTCCTCCAGCTCACCGTTTACCTGGGGAAGCGGGACTTCGTGGACCACCTGGACAGAGTAGACCCTGTCGGTGAGTGGGGGGGGCCTGGGGCTGCGCTCCCACGGCATCGAGCGGGGGGCTGTCTGGCTGCCCCCGGGGGCGCTGAGGCCGGCCACTGTCCACCAGGGCTTCTGGGGGGACATTGCGCCACACGAGAGTCACAGAGACGGAAGGGAGGTTGGCCGGGTACGTCGCTGGGCCAGGCTGGGCATGGCCGCCCTTCCCCACAGTGCCTCTCCGCACGGAAGTGTGGGGCCCGCGGAGCTGCCTGCCCTTGGCAGGTGCTTCCCAGGGTGGCCGGAGCCCTTGGGCCAAGATTCGGAGCAGAACCTGAGGGGCGCGGCTCAGGCAACTGCCAGATTTGATTTCTTTTGCTCCAGAGGGATGGGAGGGTCTGGGAAGACTGCCGGGGGTCTCAGTCCAGTAGGCGGGGGGGAAATGGGGGCCTCACGTTCCCCTTGAGCTCCCCCTACATCTCGCTTGCTTCTCCCACTTCAGATGGTGTCGTTCTTGTGGATCCGGAATACCTGAAGGATCGGAAGGGTAAGAGGCGGCCGAGCGCCGGCCTGCACCGTGGCAGCTGGCGGAGACCCCTGAGGGAGAGAGGAGGGGGCACGGAGACGGGGGGCATTTCTGCGTCGCAGGGGAGCGCTCTGAACTCTGGGGTGCCACGAAAACAGCTCCCGCGATTCCAGCGTCGCCATCAAAACCGGTGCGACCCTCTTCCCCGCGACTCGCACGCCCTCTCGAGCTCCGGGCAGGCACCGCGGGAACTGAGAGGCCCCGGAGGGCTGGAGGGCCGTAACCTGAGCCGGTGCTGCTCGTGTGCCGGCGCAGACGGTCCCACAGGGGCCGGAGGGGCTTCTTTTGCAGGAAAGGCGCTCGTTCCTCTGCGTGCGGTGGGGGGGAGGTAGTGCCGAAGCCGGGCTCCGGGGACGCCGTTCCCTTGTGGGCTGCGGGACTCGCGGGGAGCCGGGCCCGAGGCTGGCCTGACGCCCCGTCCCTTGCAGTGTTCGTGACGCTGACCTGTGCCTTCCGCTATGGCCGCGAGGACCTGGACGTGCTGGGCCTCACCTTCCGCAAGGACCTCTTCCTGGCCTCCTACCAGGCCTTCCCGCCCCCCACCGAGGAGGGCCCCGAGCCGCCCACCCGCCTGCAGGAGCGGCTGCTGAGGAAGCTGGGCGGCAACGCCCACCCCTTCAGCTTCCTGGTAAGACGGGGGCCAGGGGGTGGCGAGGCTTCCCCGTGCCCCATTCGCCTCCCGTCACGCTCTTCCGGCGCCATCACAGGGACGCGCGGGCCCCTGTTCAGGGGAGGCTCTTCCAAGGGAACAGGCGGGCCCCGCGGGGAGCGGACTGGGGCAGCTCCGTGCGGACGAGGCCACCGGGGCCAGTCCTCTCCCACCGACTGGCTGCCGCGGACGAGCCTTTAGGGCCGCTGGGGTCTCCGTCACGAGGGGGCTTGGCTGACCGGGGAGCATGACTCTGCGGCCGGGGCAGCTGCCGTGGAGACCTTGCACCCGCCCGCTCTGGCAGGCAGCCCCCTCGCAGAGCCTCCGACGGGCCCCCCCCGGCCAGCCCTTCCCCGGCACCCCCCTGCCCTGTGCCCGGTGCCACAGCTGCCTCCCCCGGCCGTCTGCGCCAAGGTGGGGGCGCCCCCGGCCCGCAGTGGACCCCCGTGCTGCCCGGCTCTCCCGCTCAGTCCTGCTTCTCCACAGATCCCACAAAACCTGCCGTGCTCGGTGACGCTGCAGCCGGGACCGGAAGACACCGGCAAGGTCTGGCGCCTCGGGGGTGGGGGCACACTGGCCTGGCCTGGCCATGGGGCAGCACTGTGGGGTGCTGGCAGAATGGGGGGTGGGCGGAGCGGCTGCTCTGGCCCCCCACACTGACGGGGCTGTGCTGCCCTTTCCTCCTTCAGGCCTGCGGTGTGGATTACGAGATCCGGGCGTTCTGTGCCAAAACCGTCGACGAGAAGATCCATAAAAGGTAACGAGTGCTTTAGCGGGGCTTGGCTTGGGGGGACTGGCTGGGGGGGGCATGCGGGGGGGCGCCCCTCCTCCATGTGGCCCCGGTCCCCACACGCCACTTGGACGGGACTGAGCGGGGCCCCGTGAGAGGCCCGCCCAGGCCTGGGGAGCACCGCCGGCTCGCACGGCACTGCCCCGACCCGCTGCTGCAGCCGCCAGGCCTGCTTTTGTCCTCCAGTTGCCAGGACAGAGCGGGGCGTGTTGGGTGCGAAGGAAATTGGCACGGACTGCACTGCTTGTGTCAGCGGGAAAGCAAACGCGGCGCAGGCCCAGCCCGCCTCGCTCAGATCACTCCACAACGGTGCAGTTCTTGACTTGCGATTTGCACAGAGAGCATACGGTTGGACACCCTCTCTCACGCCAGGACGATGCCCGAACGGCAGTCCGCGGCAGAGGAGTGCGCGGGGTGGGCAGGGCGTCTGCCAGCCCCCTCGGCGCCTGCGCACACCCCTCCCCAGGGCTGTCAGTGTGGAGGTGCGCAGAACACGTCAGCTGAAAAGCCGTTTTGAAAGTCGCATGACGGACTGTGCGGGAGGCACCGAGCCCCCCCACCCAACACGCAGCGCTGCGGGTCACAGCGGATGGCGTGCCGGTTGGGCCCCTGCTCCCTCCGTGGTGGCGCTTGGGCTGTGCCCCCTGGCCCGGGGGCTGCAGGAGCCCCGCTCACGGCCCGTTCACCGTCCTCCTCCGGCCCCCACTTCCCCAGGAATTCGGTCCGCCTCGTCATCCGCAAGGTGCAATATGCCCCGGAGAAGCCCGGCCCGCAGCCCATGGCCGAGACCACCCGCCACTTCCTGATGTCCGATCGCTCGCTGCACCTGGAAGCCTCGCTCGACAAGGAGGTGGGGGCCGTTCCTGCCGCCGCGTGCAGGGGCTGGTGGGGCGGAGGAGCGGCCGGCAGCCGTGGGGCTCCCCGCACGCCCAAGAGCCCTGGTTGGCGTGTTGCGTGGGCCGGCCCCGTGTGGCAGGCAGCGGCGGGCCGGTGACGAAAGGTGGCTCGGCCACGGCAGACGCCTCTCTCCACCAAGAGACGGACACGCTCGGGGCCGGGCTGCTCTTCTGCTGGCCTGGGCCCCGCTTGGCACACACACGAGGAGGCCCCCAGGGCGTGCTGTGCTGTGCTGTGGTGGCAGGACAGACCCTGGGAGCGGTTATCCAGCGCCCCACGGCGGTCCCCACCCCTTCTCCGAGACGCTCGTGTGCAGCCCGCTTTTTAGAAAGCGTGGATGCCGCCGGCCCTCGCCTGGAGGCCCCGCAGATGTGGGGTGGAGCAGAGGTGGGGCCGGCCAGGTCCTGGCAGGCCGAAGCCCTCGAGTGGCGGACTGGGGGTCCCGGAGGGGAGGGGCTGTGGGGGCCCTGCCGCACAAGGCCCCCCCGGGCCGCTCTTCCAACGGGGCCCTTCGCTCCCCCCAGCTCTACTACCACGGGGAGCCGATCAGCATCAACGTCCACGTCACCAACAACTCCAGCAAGAGCGTCAAGAAGGTGAAGGTGTCAGGTACGGCGTGCGGCCTGAGGGGGGGCGGCGTGGGCGTGGGGGCGTGGGGGCGTGGGGGCGTGGGGGCGTGGGAGGGTGGGAGGGGCCCACCCGCGCTCCCCAGGAGCAGCAGCAGCAGCAGCTCGCGGGCAGCGCCGAGGGCCCGGCTCGGCTGCCGTGTCGGGGGGTGGGCGGGAGCCCTGCTCGGGAAGGCGCGTGCCGCAGGGGGCCGCTGGGAGCGGGGCCAGGGTGGCACGCCGGCGCGGGGGGGGGCTCCCTGGGGCGCATGGGGTGTGTGGCGGCGGCCCCACCGGTGCGCTCTCCTTCCCGCCCGCAGTGCGCCAGTACGCAGACATCTGCCTGTTCAGCACGGCCCAGTACAAGTGCCCGGTGGCCCAAATCGAGCAGGAGTGAGTACGGCGTGGGCCTCCGTGCCCCTCGCACCGGGCAGGGCCCCCCGAAAGCCCCGGGCACCCGCTCGGCTGCCCCGAGGCGGGTTTCACCGGGCGCCTCCTGTCGCACAAGCAGCCCTGGAAGCAGGGACCGGAGGGCCCCGGCCCAGGCCAGGCCCGGCCCAGCTCCGCTTTGCCCCCGGGACCCACACGGGCCGCCCCACCATAGTGGCGCAGGGGAGGGGAGGGCAGGGGAGGGCAGGGAGGCCCGGCCCCCTCACGCTCGCTCGGCGCTCTCCCCTGCCAGTGACCAGGTGGCGGCCAGCTCCACCTTCTGCAAGGTGTACACGCTCACGCCCTCGCTCAGCAGCAACCGGGAGAAGCGGGGGCTGGCGCTGGACGGCAAGCTCAAGCACGAGGACACCAACCTGGCCTCCTCCACCATGTGCGTCGGGGCGTCTTCCCCGGGGGTGGGGCTGGGCAGGGGGGGGAGGATCCTGGGCATCCTTTGTGGGCTGGGGGGGCAGCCCCCCCCCCGGGGAGCCCACAGGCAGGGCTGGGGCAGCCGGAGCCGCTGGAGGGCCCGGATCCTGGCACAGGCCCCTCAGCCACATGGGGGGCGGGGGGGCAGGCGAGACGGCCTGCACGGAGGGGCTGTGAGCCACGTTCAGTGGGTCCCTCCCTGCGTGGCGGCTGGCTGCCAGCCCCCGGGGGCTGGACACGGCTGGGGCGCCCCCAGGAGCAGCTGCCCTGACCCCCCTTGTGCGTTGCAGAGTGAAGGAGGGCGCCAACAAGGAGGTTCTGGGCATCCTGGTCTCGTACCGCGTCAAGGTGAAGCTGGTGGTATCCCGGGGCGGGTACGTACCCAGGCGCGGGAGGGACCCCCGGCCCCACGGCCCCCGCGGCGGCGGCGGCAGCCCCCTCAGCTGCACTCTCCCCCCCGCAGGGACGTCTCCGTGGAGCTGCCCTTCGTCCTCATGCACCCCAAGCCGCCGGACCAGCCCTCGCCAGCGCAGCCCCAGCTGGGTAAGCACCGCCGCGGGGCTTTGGGGCCGCCTGGGGGGCAGCGGGCCCCTCCCGGCACAGGGCTCTCACATGCCCCCCCATTCCTCCCCAGCCGCCCCAGAGACAGACGAGCCGGTGGACACCAACCTCATCGAGTTCGATACCAAGTAAGCAGCAGCCACGGGCCCCTCGGAGCCTCTGTCCCTGCACCCCAGCGGGGGGTGGCCCTCGGAGGGCTGGGCGGCCCCCCCTGCACCCCCCAGCACAGGAGACTGAGGGAGGCCCTCCCAGAGCCCCGGCTGGGGAAGGCTGCCAGGTGCCCCTGGGCCAAGGCGGCGGGAGGAGGCACAGCAGCCTGGGGGGCCTCATGGCTGGGACCAGGCAAATGGGGGCAGAGGCAGCACGGGGCAGAGGTCGGCCAGGCCACCCGCGGCCCCTCGGGGCCCCTTCCCCACACCCTCACTCTGCTCCTTTCTGTCCGCACTGCCAAAGTTACGGGCAGGACGACGACATCGTCTTTGAGGACTTCGCTCGCCTGCGGCTGAAGGGGCTGAAGGACGACAAGGACGACGACTACTTCTGCTAGGGGGCTGCGGCCAGAGGCGCCCGGCCGCCCCCCGGGACCAGCCAAGGGCGAGGAGAGGCGCAGCCCCGTGCCCGGCCCCCCCGCCCTGGCGTCCATCGTGCTGCAGCGGGGAGGGCCCTCCCCACAGGGGCCTTTTAATGTGACCAAGAGTGGGCAGGGGGCTGCCTCAGCCCCCTCCTCCCCTCCCCTCCCCTCCCCTCCCCTTGCTGCTACTGCATATTTTTCAAGACGGATTTTAACTTCTAAGGAACCCCCCTCCGCCCCGTCTAACGCACTGGAACCATTGATCGGGCATTATCCACCCCCTTCATGTGTACGCCTTCAGGGTCCCCAGGCTGCCCCCATCCCACACCCTGTTCCGCACGGTCAGGGGGGTGTCGCCAAGGGAACCCCCCCATCAGTTGGGGGGCAAATAGGAAAAAACTGCTGCCCCTGTAGAAGCCGCCCGGGCAGGGACAGGCCTCTGCCGCCCGAGGGCCTGGGGGGCTTTGCTCTGCCCAGGACAGGGACGTGTGCTCCGCCGTGGGGCAGCCGTGCCAAGCCGCCCCCACCCCCCCTTTGTAGACCCCTCTCAGGACCGCCTCCGAGTGCCAGCAGGTGAAGGGAACAAGCCCAGTTGCCACAGCGTCCGAGCCGAGCACACAAGAGAATAAAACCCTTAACAGAGACCAGCTTTATTCATTGATGCGACATCGAGCGGGGGGCAGTGGGCGCCCGGGCCCCCCAGCTTTCCTTCCGCAGCGAGAACAGGCGGTCCGGCGGGCAAAGGGGCCGCTCTGCCCGGGTGCAAGCGAGGGGCCTCGTCCGCAGGACTGCTGTCGAGCCGAGCTCCGCGTGCCGTTGGCTCCGGGGGCGACCGCCACTGCAGGCAGGCGGCTCGGTGTGCTCCTCTCCCCTCGGAGGTGGGCCGCCGAGCGAGACCCCGCGTCCGCCCCCCATGTGCATTCCCGGCCCGGGGGGCAGCACCGCCGTCCTGCCGCCACCACCGCCGTGAGAAACCCACCACCCACGGGGCTGCTGGCCGGGGGAGAGGAGCCCCCCGCGCACTACAGCAGAGGCCAGCCGGCCGGCCGGTCACAGCATGGCCACCATTCCTGCGGGGGGGGGGGGGAGACAGAGAGAGGCGGGTCACCTGCCTGGGGCAGCTCTCCACCTCCCCCCCCCCGTGCCACGGAAGCAGAAGAGTCACCTGTAGGCCCGGGGGCCCTCTCGCTGCTCCGAGTGGGGTGCTGTCTTCTGGGGCTGGAAGCCGCCTGCCCCTCCCCGGCAGCCTGGAAAGGGGGAGAGCAGCCACTGCAGGCCCAGCTCCATCCTCCAGACAAGGAGGCAGCCGGGGAAGTGGGGGGCAGCAGGTGGGCTTCACCTCCCTGCGGCGCTCCAGGCGGGAGGGCCTGCCCCGTCCCCGTGGCAAGAGCACACGCCGCTCAAGGACTGGCCGGGGGACACAGCGACGCGGCCGCCCTCCCTCCTCCCGCCCCGGGGACAGAGGGCCCGGGCCGCAGCCCGTGCAGCTGCCCGGCCCGTACACCGCCCGGCCCAAAGGCCTCGCGAGCGGCACCGCTGCAAGAGGCGAGGGGGGCGGGCAGTGTGGCCGCGGGTCCTGCCGGGTACCTGCCGATCCGCGTCCTCGGAAGCCAGGCCGGCGCTGCTGTCGCGGGGGGCACGCTCCACCCCCGCCAGGCGCCCCCTGCAGTGAGTGAGCGAGCGAGCAAGCGTGAGACTGGGCGGGCACCACCTCCGCCGGGGGGCACAACCCCCAGCGGAGGTGGCCCCCCGACCCGCAGAGCTGGGAGCCCTCCCCAGTGGGGGTGGGAGCGTGGCCGGCAGGTGCCGGGGTCCTGAGCCCGCGCCGAGTCCCACTCCTCCCGGCCTCCGGGCACCACGTGCGGCAGCCACGGTCCTGCCCCACGGCCCTCGTACATCGCAGCAGGGAGCCACGTCCGACTCGCGTGGCGCAGCGAGCGCCCGGGAGCCCCGGCGAGCGGCAAGGTGAGCAGCGTCCGCACCCGGGCAGCCTCCGCACCGCCGCTCCTTCCCCAGCGGAGGCAAGGCCCCCCCCCCAGCCGGGCTCCCTTCCTCCCCCACGGAGGAGGGTACTCACAGGCCCACCGTGTCCCTCGCCCGCCGCAGCTTCTCCTGCAGGGAGGTCACCTTCCTCCGATACCTGTGCAGAAGGTCCCCGGGTGTTCAGTGCCAGGCTGGGGGCCCTGCTGGGGTTTGTCCCCCCCGGGATGTCTGCCTCCAACATTCCCAGGGGGAGACTGAAAGGACCCACTGGGCGTGAGGCGCCCCCACCCTCCAAGCCAGGCTCCCTCCCGCATCCGTCCTGCTCGGAAGGGCCTCTACTCACTTTTCCTCCTGCTCGTTGGCCTGGTTCACCCGGGCAGCCTCCAGCGCCTTCTCCTGCACCCACCGGGCCTCCAGGGCCAGCCGCTCCCGCCGCGCTTCCCCCAGGAGCCGCTGGGCCTGCTCCAGCTCCCGGCGCAGCTCCTCGGCCTCCCGGGACAGCAGCCACACCTGGCACTGCGCCTCCTCGTACTGGCGCGTGAGAGCGGCCACGTCGCGGGCGAGGCACCCCACCCTGAGGGAGGCCGAGGGGAGACGGCGCGGCATGAGGGCCCCCGGGGAGCACCCCGGGTGGCCAGGGCAGGGGGCGGCCTCCCCGGCTCGGGAGCAGGGGGGCGGCTCTCGGGAGTCAGCCCAAAACATGCCCGCGGGACAAGCCGCCCTGTCCGTGCCCTGAGGACCTGGCTCTGCAGCGCCGGCTTTCCAGAGACGCAAAATACGGGGCACAGCTGCCCAAAGCAGCGGCGCCATTCAGGCGGGGGGCCGGGGCAAGGAAGCCCAGAGAAACCGGCTAGAACCAGAGGCAGGGACGGGTGTCACGCCGCCCTCGCAGGGAACAGACCAAGGAGGCGTTGCGGACGCGACCATGTGGACGAGCCGAGGAAGCGGCAGAAGTCCGCAAGGAGCCGTCTCCTCCAGGCTGCCGGGGCCGAGCCAGGCTGAGGGCGAGCACCACCGAGTGGCCTCGGGGAGCTGCTCCTGCCCCTCGAGGCTCCGCCATCCATCGTGGGCAGCCGAGGCCGCAAAGGACCCGAGGGCTCGGCATGGGCAGGTGCTGCACGGGCCAGCCAGGCACGCACCTGGACGCGCGGCCGGGAGCCCCGGAAGGGCTTGCGCTTTCCCCACGCAAGGGGTGCTCCGCGCCACCCTGGGGAGGAGACGGAGCCGGAGCCTGCCGCCCCCGGCCTTCGAGGGCTCCCCGGGAGCTGAAGCCCCAGCACTGCTCTCACGGCGGGGCAGGGGGCTACCTGGCGCGCTGCTCCTGCTTCTCGGCCTCAGCCTTCTTCAGGACAGCCGTGAGGGAGGCGACCTGCTGGCGCAACTGCAAAGGGGAGTCAGTGTCCGCCGCAGGCAGCCGAGGCCACCGAAAGGTCGACGTGTCCATCTCCTCCTTCTCCCCCACCCCCACGGTCGCCTCTGTGACAGGCGGGGACCCCGCCTGGGCCACCACTTCGGGCCAGGGCCACTCCGGCAGAAAAGGACCCTTTTCCAAAAGCGTAGCAGAAGAAGGGCCAGCCCCAGCCACCCCCCCACCCAAGCTGAAGCCCCTCAGGCCCATCGCGAAGCAGCAGCGCAGGGTGGACGGGGGTGCCGGAGGGCAGAGCGCGCTCCCTCCCCCCCGCCCCGCCCCGCCAGACCCTGCACCTGGAGTGGCGGAGGGGCGGCCGTCTGCCCCTCCCCTCCCCTCCCCTCCCCTCCCCCTGGCGGGGCAGCCGGCGGATTGCGCGGCGCCGCGGTAACGGCCCGAGCGGCCCCGGGCGCGGCTCACCTGCTCGCCCTCGCGACGGAGCTCCGCCGCCTCCGGGTCAGGCCGGGCGTGCAGCGGGGCCGGTCCCACGGGAGCGCTGCAAGGGCAGAAGAGCGGCCCTGCTGCAGGAGGCGTCCGCGGCGCCCGGCCCCCCGGCCCCGGCCC